TAATTTCATAGAATCCAAGAGAGAAACCATAAAACATATGTAATTTAATTTAATAATATTATAAAATTAAATATAAATTATAATATAATCTTTTCTTTAAATTATCAATATTAAATATTATTAAGAAAATTTAGAATATATAAGATAAAAATCAAAGAATATAAAGCTATATATTTGCTTTTTGAGTTTATCTATATAAAGAATATATTATTCTAATTCCTAATTAAATAAATTCTACGACAATATAAAGAAACATATATTCTTCAATATAAAACGCCGCTAAGAATATCTTAAAGAATTTTTTTCGACCTTATATCTCTATATAAATATATTTATTCATTAAAAAAATCATTGCAAATCAATTCAAAAATAGAAATAATCCTCATATATAGAAGAAAAATATTACTAAATTCAATAAAAAACCAACTAAATTCCATTCAGTTCATTACTTATATATAATCTATATTCTTAAGAAAAATATATATTTATTCAAAGTCTAATTCAATATATTCAATCTTTTTATTCATATTCATCTATTGAATATCTTCATATCTACGAATATTATATACAAACAGATTCAAATAATAGATATATATATATATATTATTTTTACAAGATATATTATATATCTCATATTCAAAGATATACCACTCATGTCTAATGTCAATATTTGAAACCTCTAAAGCAAAATTTAAATATTTTAGTAAGGAAAATTAATATGAAAACTCGTCTGTGAAGAAGTAATTAAGAAAGAAAACATATTTTAATCCGACTAGTCTTCAACAGTTATATACATTCTAAGTATTAATATGAATAATATCTTATTTCGAGAATCTAATACTCAATGATTGATTGCCTCGGAGGATGCCAAGTACAAGATACTGAGCATGCGACCGAAATAACTGACGACATCATGATGGGAGACTACACTCAGAGCCTCCGGCAGGAACCTTTTGTGTAAAGCGACTCTGTGAGTGGCCATTAAAATCCAGGAGTTCAGATCCTGCTAAGCTACGAACAACTCCCCATTTGGGGTGGTGCAGAAAATAATTTAAAAGCTGGGCTTCGATTCACCGGGGTCCTGCCTCTGGTTTGACTTTGCCAGTGTAGATGTCACAAGTAATGACCACAAAAACCTTGTTAAAAGCGCACGCACGCATATGTATGTATATATATATATGTACATATATATGTCTGTTCCTATTTGTATTTGTTTCTGTATTTGTATGTATATTTGTATCTATACAAGCAAGCAGTGGACAGTGCGCCCCAGTGAAGCAAGGCTCCCTCGTTATCAATGCGTTCTCCGAAGAAGGGGCAGCTTTCTTTTCGGCTGCTTCCCTTCTTGGGAGGGCGACTCTCAACTGCCTTGGAAGCGGGAGCTCTGCCCGCCTGCTCCATGCCTCCCTTCTCAATCTGTATTAGGGGGTTAGAGTTGATGATGGGAGGGTTAGGGTGCAGTTGATAGCAGCGGACTCGCGACGTCCAGTGCTTGAGAGAGGAGGCCAGCAAAAGAGCCGCAGAGGTATTGCAACAAATCCTCTTCTCCTTCTAATAGCAATAGGGGGTTCGAGGCAACAACTCAGCTAGGCACTTGCTTTTTGGGGGTCCTGTGGTGGATCTTCAAGTTCGGACGCCCGATGCTATCATGCCGACACGTCTGACTCACTTGTATCATTTGCTTTTGGCCATCTTCCTTGATGGACACTGAAGCGAATGGTACTTGGCTTTTCTGTTCTTTCGGCCTTGCACACGGGAGCGGAAGTCGCTGAACCTGATAATTTGTCCTTGAGCATGCAGAACAAAGCGACATACATCTGAAAGGTTTTCTCGACCAACTCCTCTTCAGGTAGATTACTGCTAAGTCGTAGCCCACAACTATGCGGGAGCCCGCCTACCTGGCATGCCAGCAGAGCTTTTCTCTTGACACCCTCCCATGTGCCTTCCGCTACTTTGCAGCAAGGCTTTCCAATCCACTGTTCCTTGCACGGGAGAAGCAGGAAAAATGATCTTGGAGCAGGCTGCTGACCAACACAAACCGTCAAGCCTCAAGCATTCTTCGCGATTCAGGGCCTGATGGCTTTATCATTCCGAAACCCTCTGGAGTTCTTGGGGCCTCGGACCCGGAGCTCTTGCAAAGGCTGCACATGTCGCTCGATATGCGCTTGGCAAGGAGCAATGGACTTTGCATCCTCCTCGTCGAAGCCCGGGAAGGCAATGTCCATTGTTCTTGGGTTAACCAGACATTCAGCAAGCGGCTGGCTGCTGTCAACTCTGCTGCCGACAGCTTTGATTGATATTCGCAACCCTGGGCATGTGCAGAGCAGTGTGGCGCTGCTGTTACCCTTCGCATCTAGATGATCCCACAGAATGACGTGAAAGACAAACAGTCCATGGTTCGTGGTGCACCTACCGTTGTTGCAAGAAGCCTCTTCAGCACGCAACAAAACAAGCAAGACAGGGACGCGAGACTTCGACAAGCATCGCAGAAGTGGCATTGTTGCATGGAGGCATCCCACAAAATCTAGCTGATGCAAACGAAGCAGCTTGTGGCATCCAGCAGGTCCACTGTACCGCCGGTACCTCAGCGAGCGCTTCGATGTCAACTCAAGCCACTTGACTTTGATTTTCAGCTTCAACTCTATACCCTAGGTCCTTACTCCTGAACCATATACCCCAAATCCTAAACCACAATGTCTGAAACCAGCGCCACGGCACACATATGTCAGAAACATGCGCCTGTCGTAGTCTTTCTTGTACTTGTCCACAGCTTCTACGTCGAACTCCTGATGCTTTCTTTCGTGAAGCATGCATAAATCATGCACACGCGCAGCAGACACCCATGCACACACAAGCACACCTAATTCTCTGACTCAAGATATCAAGAGACACATACAAACAACTATAGATAGATAGACAGATAGGTAGCTAGCTAGCTAGCTAGCTAGCTAGCTAGATAGATAGATAGATGAACAGATGGATACACAAACAGACAGACAGATGTGCATGCATGTAGGTGCAAACGTTGGTCGCACATAAGCTGTCGACACAGGGCTACAGACGCAGACTCATGCACACGCACACTGCACATACACATGCGCATGCACACACACACACCCGCGCACACCCATATATATATATATATATAGATATAGATATAGATATAGATATAGATATAGACATGCACGCATGCATGTATACGTATACACATCTAGTGCATAGACATATACGCGGCGAAGGGGTCGACAGTTGCAGGCTCGGAGGGGTTGTGACTGGGCTTGGCCTCCTTGAGCTCCTATGCTGCTGGCCTAGATAATTCCTTGAATCTCAGCCAGGTATGCACGCAAAGGTTGTAGGGGAGGTGGCAGCGATGTCACTGATGTGATCCCAGCCGTGCGCCCTCCCATGCGGCCTTGCGCAGCATGTTCTCCAGCCTCTGAACTTCGCCGGGCTTCTTGCTCGCCAAGTCTGTGAGCCTCGCTTTGCACAAGTCGTCTGCAAAAACGGCTCCGATGACTGGGGGACCAGACGGTAGAGGCCAAAGTGTCGGAGCTTCACAGTGTGACTCTTTGTAGCGCTTGTAGTTGGTTGCACAAATGAATCCGAAATTGCTGAGATTTGATGTGCTGAGACAGGGACTCCCATGGGTCTTCCTTCACGTCGAAGAGCTGCGGAGGCCAAGGTTTACCTTCGAAATTTCAAGGTGACAAGGAGTTCACAGCTTGACATTCCGCTACGCAGAATCTGAATGTCTTCCCTTTTCTTAATTTCCAACCGTTCCAAAATCGTTCCACTGCACCTCCGTGGTATAGGGGCGCGTGCAGGATCAGTTTCAGGTGGCCCTGACGGATCATGAAGGCCCCAGTCCTGCAGCTGTGAGCACGCTAAGCAGTCTTTGAGTCTAGAACTGCTGGAAGCCACCATGATGCCACGTCCAGTAAACAGTTTAGATCTTCAAAAGATCTTCGCAAACCGAGCATCCGTGAGTAGGAGTCGTGGTACTCCGACACGACATAGTTGCGCTTACCTCAGCTCCACTCCAAAGGAACACCGAACGCGTCACCTGCAGCAGAAACCAACCGCGAGGATAGTACGATGCAGGTCAGGCACGCTCATGACCTCTCGCCATAGGCAGGACCGATTCGCCGGCAAGCTTGGCCTGCGGATGGGTGCTGAGGTGCCCACAGAAAGCTTGTTGAGTCATGGGTGGGAGCTTCGCAGAACAACATCCCTTGCTTTGTGTCTTGACTTGAGCAAACACCGGCTTCGCGTTGTGCTAGAAGACTCTGAGATGCTGGAAGTACGAACGCTAATGACGCAATCAGGATCGAAAGGACAAGGCGGCTCAAATGATGGCCCTCCTTGGCTCATCGTGGGACAACCCCGTAGATTCACCATGACAGCAAAGGGACTTACCGGGCTTACGCATTGTCCAAGAACCCCTGCATGCTGCGAGACTTTGAGGCTTCGGGGTGCCTGCCTGTGGCACTCGACTCTTCGCGCCCGCCATGTCAAGGAGTGTTGGGTAAACGTCCTTAGCAGTCTTCTGGTGCGGTCGATACAGCAGTGCGAGGAGAGGTTGCAGCCGTGGTTCATGCAATGACGTCAAGCCGTTGATGCGCTGCCCCTGACAACTGCACAGCGGCAGGGATTTACGGCTTGGGGGGCCGTGAAAGTCCCATGATTGCAAAGGGTCCTGATTCTGAAGGGTGCTGAGTTTGAGGATCTGCTTGCTTCAAAAGTTGTGAGGCACAGGTCGGGAGCACAAGCACACAACTCGGCTCCGCACGATGCTCACTCAACTCGTCAAACACCACCATGCAACGTATAAAACCACCAACGGACCCAACCAACCACCTGTGCACGAGCAATGTTTTGCCTGAAGAGAGAAATGTGAAAATGAATACATTTATGAAGCAAAGACTAAAGCACCACCATGTCGGTGCGTGAGCAAAGAAGTATGTACATTTACAAGAATCTAGACACCTGGCCTGTTGCACTGAGTCTCCCTTCATCCATGTGCTAATGTGTAAATGAGAGTACCTATATGTGTGCGTGTGTGTTTGTGTACTGGGGTGCGTGCATATGGACGTGTTTCAACATTCTTGAGTGAACGGACGAATGCGTAGAATAGAACGATAGTCGGATGGCTGGCTCAAAATGGATGGATGATCGATACGTGCATTGCATACAAACAGGCAGATGAATGGCTAGATGGAGACATCGGCGAACATACACGAACAATAAGCAAACACACAACGACATCTGCTTCGTTCTCTCCCTAAGATAAGCTCCACCACCCGATTCCGGCTAATATGTACATATGTAGATGCATACACATAGATATACTTACACATGCCTAACGAATACAAAGACAAAACGCGCTTACACGGAGACACGGCAGAGATGGCCATGACCAGAGCTGCCTTTGGCATTCCCGGGCCAGCGATGATCAAGGGGATGCGGGCCGAGGCTTCCTCCCGAGGCTCTGCGGTTTTCCGAAAGGAGCTAAAACACGCCGGTGACACAAGAGCACAATATTCACTGTAGTTTTCACATGAAGCAGAGGATGGCCCGAGGATAGGAACCACCGGTGAGCTTGTTGCTTAGCGCTGGCGTGCTTGCAGTCTCAAGCCAAGCATGCGTGCCGTTGCAGTCCGAGCATGCGCATGGCTGTCCTTCATGGAGCTCTTCTGCCACTGCCTGTTCTCCAGGTTGTGCTCGCCGTGGTCCTGCGCTGTGCGACAGGAAAGAGCAGGGACCCAGCTCAACTATCAACGAAACAGACAGCCCACAGAAGGGGGACTCGTCGGCGTTCAGAGAAAACTGCAGATACTTGGGTAAGTCTGTCTGGCTTCGAGCACGCAGTCACAAAGGGGGTTGAGCTCTTGTCCTCTGCTGAGTCGGAGTATCACTATGGTGTCCCGGTTTGCAGTTCAAAGGACTTCTGCGACGGTCGTGCAAGTGTTGGCAAAATGAAGCAGGACAGGCTCCGACACTTATATGTAAAAGCACAGGAGCTTTCAGTTTAGCACAGGCACGGAGACGAACATCACGTAGGCATTCTTGACGCCGCTGTTGTAGAAAGCACTGAGGATATTGCCGACCAGCTTGTCCGACTCTACACCTCGGCTGGGATATGAGTTCCTTTGCTGCCAAGGACTTCTGGACGTCACAGCCCTGCTGCGGCTCCAGGGTGTCCGAAAACCGAAACCAAATAGCACTTATGACAGTTGGATTCTTTTTGGCAGTCCCGCGTGTTATTTAGAAAAGCCTGGAAACCTCCTTCCACATGTGATTTTCGGGTGATAGCGGCTTACTTACATGCAAGAGTGCGGGAGCGTGGTCTTCGAGACCCGCCTAGCAGTCAAGACTGTGGGGAGCGAGAGAGCGACAGAGAGAGAGAGAGAGAGGTGCACACGCTCGCGCTTGTGTGTATACATATATATATATATGTATATATATATATATGTATATGTGTGTGTTTGTTTGCGTTTGCGTGTCGGGTGATTATTTCCGTGCAGGTAGTGTAGCAGCAATTGAAGATCACTTCTTGAGGGTCAGCCGTTAGCCCCCCTTTTCGATGGCAGAAGCTCTCGCCAAGACGGCCTTGTGTTGACAGCGCTTGCAACTGCAAACTTCAGTTCAGTTGCTACAACTCCTGTTTGTTGACGCACGCGTGATTGCGTGGCCTTAACAGCGGGAGCCCCGATCCGCAACTGTTCTTTCATCAAGCTGCACATGGAGAAGTAGACACGGCGGAAGTGCTCGATATCCTCCAAAGAACGGCATTGAATAGGGGGAAGCAGGTGTTGGATCCAGTCGAGCCAGTACGAAATTGAACATGGGATGCAGTATGAACCATAACATGCGATCTAACATGATACTTCAAATCGAACGCAAGGCCGTTTGACAGCGAAAAGATCAATCGAACCTGTGCAATTGTGAGAGCAGGGCTGGAAGGACCAACACCCTCATCTGATAGCAAACACGAAAGCCAGTGACATATAGCCCACGTGAAAGGGAAATGAACACACCAAGCCAACACTTGTGAGAGACAGTTGACGTGTCTGGTGACACATGCAATGCTGCTGCTGTCCAAAGCCCAGTCTCTTTCACGACTACTTCTGAGGACTAGTTGCGAAGAGCAGGCCTTGGCATCGCACTCGTCCATGTGCCAGAACTGCTTGGCCTTGGCCGCGTATGCATCCGCCGGATGGAGCTTGTCCCGCGGCACGAGGCGTGGGACGGCATGCCTCGGGACTTGACTGAGCCGTAGACTGGCGACCGGATGAGAACAACAAAACCTCCTGCTGCCTAGCAATGCAAAGTAGACTGCGTGGGCCATGGGGCCTACACCCTGGGCTTCAAGACTCGAGATTGCAAGGTTTCGCAAGTGCGAGTAACTACACTTCTGATCGGGACACGAGTTGCTGTGCCTTCCGCTTTCTGCGAAGCTTGCTAAAGCAAAGACAGGCTGCTTTCCCAAAGATCCAACAGCGTTCCAGTATGTGCCGTTCGTCTGGTACGGCGGGTGCGGCACGGAGAAGGAACCTGAGCTACGTGCGAATACTGGCGTAACCTTCCTGGCATCTAGTGACCTGCTCTGAGCCTGGAAGAACTTCTCATTTTGGACTCCAATCGTGCGCGGAGGCCAAGGGGCAGTACAGAAACTGCGGCGTTGCCTTCTTGAAGATCCCTTGGCGAATAAGCTTGGCACATTCCTTGCGGCGAAGAAGCTTTCACGCAGAGGGAACGGTGTGTACGTCGACTTCGACACGAGTTTTGTACGACAGCCGGGCTCATGTCGGATGAAGTTCAAACCCGCTGAACTCACGACTTCCCAACAATGCCAGCACCAAGGTCTTGCTGCTGGCCTCTGCAGTAGGGTAATCGTAGAAGCCTTCAGCTGGCATGGGCCTGACTTCGAGTTCAGAGCCGAGCTTTTGCAGGTGTAAGACTGCAAGAACTGGAGTCGGATCGAAGAAAGCTTTTGGCTTTTGTGTAGGTACAAGACCGACTTTGTGGAGACTTTTCGCTGGTCCCATCTCAAGATTTGTCCCGCGTCACTGAATGCCACTGTGGGCTGCGGACAGGAAGCCGCAGAAAGTGCTGCCGAGCGGCACGTCGTTCGGCCTTTGCATCCAAAGGGTAGGGTCCTGCCTCTTCGAGACAACCTCGGCTGCTTCACCAGAGTCTGAAGGAAAAGGGCCGGCTTCGAGCTGCCCTCCTCAAACTCCAGCCCAAGCTACACCCGACAAGCGCGACCAGGCTTTCGCCGACTCTCTCACCGGCCCGGTTCCCGTGAAGGGGTCGTTGGAGATCCTCGGAATCGCGTTTTGTGCGTTTCAGAACTCTGGCTATAGTTGGTCTCTGGGCAGCAAAGGGGGTCGTTGAAGGAGGAAACGCGAGTGTAAGAAAGCCCAAGCTCCCAACCCCTCCCAGTTCTTCCCGGAAGTCCATAGACGATCAAAAAGTCACCGGCACGTGAGACATACCAAGCCCCAAGCCGAGAGCTCCCAAATTCACACGACCGAGGCCCCCCACAATACTCCGCAGCTCCAAAAGCAACAACGGCTCACACTAAGAACCCCCTAAACCCTAAACCCTGAACCACTAAGAACCCCGAAGATCTGGAACTCTGACCAAAAGCATATTCAGGAAGAGGATCTTGTGGCTGAAGCGATCCAGGCCAGCTCCTGCATGAACCTGTGAAGACTCAAGGACGAAGCATATATTAAGTTATATCTTATCTTATATAATATAATAATATATCTTATTATATTCAGGCTCCCCGCGGCGAAACAGGCAGGGAGTTGTGCTTCGGCACAACTTCTGGTAGACTCAGTTCGTGTGTTGAGGTGCGTTCGGGCTCGCCTTGCCCCAAAGCGTGATCTCGTATCCGTGGTCTGCCAGCACGTCGATGAAGGTACCATTAATCTTCTGCTCGGCGGCGAATTCACGGCACTCGCTGCGTGAGAAGGCATCCACACACCTGACAAGGTGCTGCCGCTTGCCTGTCTCCTAGCCCTTCATGTGGAGGCTCTCATGGGCTCTTCTCTTGGAATCCTGGATGGTGCATGAGAAACCACGCGAAACTCATGGCCGACATGGTGTGGGGCGAACGGCGGGCACAACCATCAAAACAAGAGGCACCTCTTGTCTAGATTGCTGTTGTCGCCGTTCACATTCGCGATGCCAATGAAATTATCCCAGACCTTGATATCGGAATTGTACCTGCCCGCAAGCATCGATGTCCTCGCAGGCACGCACAGTGGCGAGTTGCTGTAGGCGTTTGAGAAATACCTCAGATGTCATAGTGACCATGCCCAGCGAACACTCATCCTGTGACACAGTCCGTTGCTGCAGGTGCTTTCATGGACCGAGGCGAGTGCGTGCCGCGCTTCATGAGCTGGCGGAGGTGCGGCATGGGGGGCTTGAACTGAGGCGTCTCATCATCTAGAATTCCTTGCCGGTCTTTAACAGTGGCCCGAATCAGATACACATGCTCCATGCTCGCATGCAAGTTCTCTTGGAAGTAGATACCCCACTCCAAGAGCATCAGCACTCGAGTCCACCCTAGGTCGGCCTGTCCAACTCCGCAAACCCGCCACATCAGGAAGCTACCCCGTCCAGAGTGCCTGACGCCTGGAATTCTTCAAACCCGGGTGTCTGCCATCCATCTCATCCACCATGATGAAGAGGATGTGCGGCTTTCCACTACGATGTGCAGCACTGTTGCTCGCATCTCCGGCCTTCAGAACTCGAGGGCTCCCGAACTTGTGGGAGGAGAGAACTAGACAAACACTTCCCTAGATCCGTCGCATTCACCGGGTTTAGGGTTTAGGGCTTTAGGTCTTGGTGCTGTGGCTATGACTCCTGTAACTATGCCTTGGCAACCACGAGTCCACGAGTACATCTTCCCAAGTGGTGCGGGCCGATGAGGCAAGACGCTCAAAGGACGCGTTTATGCCGAGGCGCCCAGAAGTGCAGAGCTAGGATGACCTGTCAGTCGTAGTGAGTTTTGCCGGTTCTCGATTGTGAAATGAGGCTTCTGTAAGCCTCGCACACGCTTGCTGTCGGGGATCGGGTCACGCTGAACACAGCGACTCGCTGTGCGTGCTGTAGTTTAGCATGCCATGACGGCACTTTCTGTGAGTCATCATGGCTGAGGGCAGTGCGGCCGTCGAGGCAGTCCGGAACATGGCGCTTCTTCCAAGGGGAAAGAGGTTCGGTTGAACGTGGGATGCAAGCTGTGGCTTGAGCCACAACTCAGAGAGCCGAACCACTGCTTGCTGCACTTCAAGCACCTGCATCCTGAAAGCCCATGGAGCTTCCGAAGCAGCATTTCAGGCAGCGGAACTTGGGGGGAGGGGGGGGGGTCATGCTTCAGGGCCCTTTTTTGCACGCAGCTCTCCGCCAGCTGCCTCCCACAGGCAGATGAACATGCAACAACAACAGCAGCAACATCAACAAGTGGGAATGAATGATAGGATGAGCAAGGCTGCAAGCCCGAGATCATTCAAAAATGCAGATTTCCGAGCCTGTGGGAGCGAGACGTGCTGACTTTGCCAGCCGTACAAAATCGGAGCGCCTATCCAGAAGCTGAGCTGCATTTGAGAAGCTCGCGGATTAAAACTCGCATGTTGCGTACGTTGCTAAAAGGAGCAAGCCTGGAGTCGAACCGTCAGAAACAACTTCCTGGGCATCTTAAGCATGCAAACTAATTAAGCTCGGATGAAGACCGGCGATCACATGTTGAGTAGCACGACGAGGACTTGTGAGACTGGTTCGAGCGCCGAGAGCTCATCCGACATCGGTCGGCACTTGAACGGATCCTTACGGGACTTCTGGAGACTTCTAGACTGTGTCGCCCGCTTCGCTTGCCGCACTGGGGCTCTCCCCGTTCGGGCACTCCAGGGTGTGGTACTTGGCGCCTGTGCAGATTCGCAAGAACGACCGTTTCAGAATCATGACTGTGCGAGAGCAGTGTGTCTGTGTGTGCTCAAATCGATATCTCCGGAAGATACTTCCAGTTTGCATGATTGTCCGACCTGTCTTGTCTTCACTGATGCAGCTGAATGATATGCAAATCGTGACCCGAGCATAGCAAACTTTTCGACCCCTCTACAGACTTTAGAGTCACTTTTCGGCAGGAATTGAAGGAACCCCAAATGTAGAACCTCAAGACAAACTGCCTATATAAGGTACCCCGGTTGAAATTCCCTTTTTGTCTTAGAACTTGAACCCTTACGGGTGAACACCTACACCTTTTTACTTCTGGAATCCTTCTAGAACCCTTAAGTAAATCTAGTCGTAACCTCTATCCTTATACCCTTGGCTAAACCCTAAACCCCAAGCCTTATCCTCATATCCTTATAGAACCATTGTAGTAAAACGTCCACGTGAGCAAGGCCCCAACTCTAGCCGAGGCCTAAGCAGCGCACGCATTCAAGAGTATCCTCATATCCTTATAAAACCATTGTAGCAAAATGTCCGTCTGCTCGTGCCTCGCTGGCGCCTGCCTGGCTTCACTTGGCAGCAGCGCTGTCCTAGCCACTGCTCCTGAGCAATGTATATGCGTCGGTGTATGTGAATATGTATATATATATGTTTATGTACATATATGCATACACGTACGGTTATGTCTACATGTGTATTATTGTATGTATGTATATGTATGTATGTATGTATGTATGTATGTATGTATGTATATGTACGTACGTACGTACGTACGTATGTATGACAAGTAAGCCCGACCCCATGGATGCAAGGCTGCTGGCCCTCACCGACTGTGAGCCATGTGTCAACTGTGTGTGCATCGTAGGCGTCGAAGCCGGGATGGGCCAACTCCTTGGTCATAGCGAGGCAGCAGAAAGAGTTGAACGGCAACTTCAGCCATCGTAAGGATGCCACCAAAGGTCCCAGTCTTGTGAACTCCCAGGTCCTAGGTCCTATAGACACAAGCGTGCCTCTTGGTACGTTTGCGCGTGCCCTGGTGAAACTCCGTTGCTGATCCTGTTCCCCTCCGAGTTTCCATCGCAGCAAAGCACCCTGCAGGGCCAGACTTCTTGGAGTAGACATACCTGGGCTCCGTTTTTTGCTGCTTCGGGTGAGGTGCCCGACGGGCCTGATCTGCTCGGCCCGCAAAACTCAAGAAATCTCTGGATGTCGAAACGAGATGCTTCAAAAACATGTCCTTGTCGTAGGCCTTCTTCGCGGCATCGGCAGCGTTGATATCGATTTCACTTCGGAGGATCCTGGAAAATCTTGGCCAGTTCTTAACATGTGGGATGCCTGTTCCAATACGGGGCTGCAAGAACTGGGAATTTAACCCAACCTGGAGCTGTCATTACAAAATGTCATGTCAACTTCCTTAGCATGATCTTCGGGCACATCGCCAACTCTGTCGCCGGGGATTCCCAGTCTGACATCCTGAATCTTAGAGCGCAAGTCCCAAATCTCCCAAACCACAAATACGCTAGAACAACAGTATAGTACACTATAGTATCACTATAGCTTAGTAAAGTACGTCACCGTAGAGTATAGCAGATGAAACCCTCTGCTCGAGAGTCCCTTGGAGGTGCTGCACCATCTTCGGGTGGTCTTTGGCTATGTTGGCCCGCTCCCAGGGGTCAACCGACAGGTTGAAGAGCTGTGGTGGCCACTGCCTAAACAAAGCTGCTTGAGGCTTACAGGGGTTTAGGAGTTTAGGGCTTAGTGCTCAGGGTTCAGGGCTGCCGGGGGGTGCTGAGGCATGGTTGGGTGCGTGGGGGTTGGGCTTCTGGTGGCTTCTGGGTCTTGAACGCCATTTGTTGGAACATGCAGGCCAAAGAGCTCACCGCTGAGCAGCGGAGCGTGATAGATGTACTTGAGATCCCCCTGCCGTACCATATACATCCCAGTCCTGCAAGCGCTGTAACAGGATTAGGGGCTAAAACACAAGGGAAACATGGAGTAAGTGACAGTTGCTGAACGCACGCAGGCGCTGCGACTTGGACATCGGCTTTATCGTTCAACCCTCTCCAGCCTGGAGTAGGAGTCATGGTACTCGGCGACCACCTGGAGTCCGAAACTGCAACACTGCCACCTACAAGTATTTTGGGGGGCACGCAGGGGGGGGCTACTAAAGCCACGAGTGCTATGTTTTGCTGTCATGCTAGCTCACGATAACTTCGGTTGGATGGACAAGCATCTGCATCATCCTGTTCAGGGTATTTGAGGTCCTCGAAACAGGACTTCGTCCATAAGCTGTTGCATCCAGGCACATGAAACTTTTTCCTGCCGTGGCCCTGCGCTGCTGGCAGCAGGGACTCGCCAATGAGATGCTTCTCCCTGGGCCTCGGTGAGGTCTCTGAGTAAGGCAGTGATTATGGAGTGAGTGAGTACGTCTTGGAGCACATGACTTGGAACGAACTTAATGAAAAACCCAGCTGGTGAGGCTCGCACGGAATGCCAGCAATGTCTAGAATCGTGGGATAAATGTCCTGAGTCAGGCGTCAGAAGCTTGACCGTGTCCACAGACATTGCCTCATCCCGAGGCTATCTTAGCTTGCACAATCTCAATCTCTTGTTGCAGTCTTCAGGAGCCCGACGGTACGAGTGTTTAAGCAGCATCAGATGATGGAACAGCCCCAGTTCGTCATCAACGCAAGCCTTTCAGGTTCAGGTGGGTACACCATGGGGGTAATGACGAACCTGTCGTGTCGAGCCATGGCGCGTGGAGGGAAGCCACCTTCCGTGGGCCGGACGAGAAGCTCAGTCTGGGTTCCGGGTCTTGCGATTCCAGCACTGCTGCAAGCACGTCACGAAGCCTCTTGACATCGACCCACACTGCAATCCATACAGTTGCACAACAAAAGTGATCGGCCGCCTGGTGGATCCTCCTCGGCCGAACTCCCGGACCGGCCAGAATGAAGGGAACGCGCACAGAGCCCTCCAACCTTTAACACACGCAGTTTCTTCGCTAGTCTCGCGGCGGTACGTATGCTTCGGGTCTTTTTGTGTAGGGTTCTGGCAACACGAAAGTCGATACGCTTGCCTTGCACACTTCGGTCTCCGGGTTCAGAACGACTGAGGTTGTTGGGGTGCTTCCACCATGACAGTCATGAGGCCATAGCACCGCGAGGGCGAGGAATTCAAGCAACGGAAGAAACAAGATCGAAGCTCGATACCCTCGTTGCCACAGTGTTGACGTTTGGATCGGTAAAAAGAGTCCGTAGCCACAAGCTCTGCAGTGTTTACGGAAGATTATAGTCGTGATTTATTGGCCGGCTGCTCCAAGCCATGGCTTTCTGCCAGTTGTGCCTTTTGAACCTGTCGGACCCACACTCTGTGAAGGACCCTGTCGTCAAGGCTCCACGGGCTCGTCTTCTGCACCACAGAGCTAAGTCAGCATGTCTGCGGCTTTGGATGCTCTCTAGGCCAGCCCGAGCATCGGATTGAAACTACTGTGGAGCCTTGCAGTAGCTCAAAAGCTGGACAACACGACGCAGCAGAATCCCAATGCCAGAATTGCGAAGAAGCCAACTGGCTTGTCCTTAAGAGTCTTGCGAGGCCACCCGAAACTCTAGGACATGGACTCAGACATGCGGCATCGAGCTCTTCTGCCACTGACGATTCTCCAGCGCATGATCCCCATGATCTGAAAGCATGACCTGGAGAGAGACACGGGAAACAGAAAAAATCTGCGGGCATGGCCAGGTTAGAATGCTAGCAAAGCAATCTTACAGCCCGTAAATTGTCAAGCATGGTGGCTAACCGGGACGAGTAGCAATGCTAGCTATAGTATTCGTAGCAACACTAGCAAGCAATAGTATTCAACCAATCGGTAGCTATCTTAATCGTAGCACCCGCCATAACAGCTGGTCGAAAGAAAGTCACGATAGCAAAAGCATGGCCGTCACAGAGTAGTAGTAGCAATAGCAGTAGCAGTAGCGGTAGCAGTAGCACTTAGCAGTGGGAGGAGTCAGTAAGAGTAGAAAGAGTAGCCGTAGAAGGCAGAAGAAGTATACCCAGTAGCAGCAAGAGTAGAGATAGTGGTGGTGGTGGTGGCGGCGGTGGTGGGGGTGGGAGTGCTAGTGGTAGTTCTAGTGGGTGGCAGTCGCCAGCAGTAGTAGTAGTAGTAGTAGTAGTAGTAGTAGCAGTAGCAGCAGTAGTAGTAGTAGTAGTAGCAGCAGTGCAG